ACTAAGCCCAAAAAACCGAACGAAAATAATAGAACATAAGCCTCCAACCAAACAAGCCTCCAATAAGCCAAGCCAAACGGAAAAAAAAAGAAGCCTAAAAGCCTAAAAGCACGAGAGAACCAAAAAAGAAGTCTCTCTTTCTCTCCAAAATTGTATCAGCCTAACCCACTGTGTAAGTTAGCCTATCATTCTGTATAAAAAGAAGGCTACCCACTTAGCCATCTTTAACCCCCCACACAAGGAGTGGATAGGAATCCACTAAGCCCAAAAAACCGAACGAAAATAATAGAACATAAGCCTCCAACCAAACAAGCCTCCAATAAGCCAAGCCAAACGGAAAAAAAAAGAAGCCTAAAAGCCTAAAAGCACGAGAGAACCAAAAAAGAAGTCTCTCTTTCTCTCCAAAATTGTATCAGCCTAACCCACTGTGTAAGTTAGCCTATCATTCTGTATAAAAAGAAGGCTACCCACTTAGCCATCTTTAACCCCCCACACAAGGAGTGGATAGGAATCCACTAAGCCCAAAAAACCGAACGAAAATAATAGAACATAAGCCTCCAACCAAACAAGCCTCCAATAAGCCAAGCCAAACGGAAAAAAAAAGAAGCCTAAAAGCCTAAAAGCACGAGAGAACCAAAAAAGAAGTCTCTCTTTCTCTCCAAAATTGTATCAGCCTAACCCACTGTGTAAGTTAGCCTATCATTCTGTATAAAAAGAAGGCTACCCACTTAGCCATCTTTAACCCCCCACACAAGGAGTGGATAGGAATCCACTAAGCCCAAAAAACCGAACGAAAATAATAGAACATAAGCCTCCAACCAAACAAGCCTCCAATAAGCCAAGCCAAACGGAAAAAAAAAGAAGCCTAAAAGCCTAAAAGCACGAGAGAACCAAAAAAGAAGTCTCTCTTTCTCTCCAAAATTGTATCAGCCTAACCCACTGTGTAAGTTAGCCTATCATTCTGTATAAAAAGAAGGCTACCCACTTAGCCATCTTTAACCCCCCACACAAGGAGTGGATAGGAATCCACTAAGCCCAAAAAACCGAACGAAAATAATAGAACATAAGCCTCCAACCAAACAAGCCTCCAATAAGCCAAGCCAAACGGAAAAAAAAAGAAGCCTAAAAGCCTAAAAGCACGAGAGAACCAAAAAAGAAGTCTCTCTTTCTCTCCAAAATTGTATCAGCCTAACCCACTGTGTAAGTTAGCCTATCATTCTGTATAAAAAGAAGGCTACCCACTTAGCCATCTTTAACCCCCCACACAAGGAGTGGATAGGAATCCACTAAGCCCAAAAAACCGAACGAAAATAATAGAACATAAGCCTCCAACCAAACAAGCCTCCAATAAGCCAAGCCAAACGGAAAAAAAAAGAAGCCTAAAAGCCTAAAAGCACGAGAGAACCAAAAAAGAAGTCTCTCTTTCTCTCCAAAATTGTATCAGCCTAACCCACTGTGTAAGTTAGCCTATCATTCTGTATAAAAAGAAGGCTACCCACTTAGCCATCTTTAACCCCCCACACAAGGAGTGGATAGGAATCCACTAAGCCCAAAAAACCGAACGAAAATAATAGAACATAAGCCTCCAACCAAACAAGCCTCCAATAAGCCAAGCCAAACGGAAAAAAAAAGAAGCCTAAAAGCCTAAAAGCACGAGAGAACCAAAAAAGAAGTCTCTCTTTCTCTCCAAAATTGTATCAGCCTAACCCACTGTGTAAGTTAGCCTATCATTCTGTATAAAAAGAAGGCTACCCACTTAGCCATCTTTAACCCCCCACACAAGGAGTGGATAGGAATCCACTAAGCCCAAAAAACCGAACGAAAATAATAGAACATAAGCCTCCAACCAAACAAGCCTCCAATAAGCCAAGCCAAACGGAAAAAAAAAGAAGCCTAAAAGCCTAAAAGCACGAGAGAACCAAAAAAGAAGTCTCTCTTTCTCTCCAAAATTGTATCAGCCTAACCCACTGTGTAAGTTAGCCTATCATTCTGTATAAAAAGAAGGCTACCCACTTAGCCATCTTTAACCCCCCACACAAGGAGTGGATAGGAATCCACTAAGCCCAAAAAACCGAACGAAAATAATAGAACATAAGCCTCCAACCAAACAAGCCTCCAATAAGCCAAGCCAAACGGAAAAAAAAAGAAGCCTAAAAGCCTAAAAGCACGAGAGAACCAAAAAAGAAGTCTCTCTTTCTCTCCAAAATTGTATCAGCCTAACCCACTGTGTAAGTTAGCCTATCATTCTGTATAAAAAGAAGGCTACCCACTTAGCCATCTTTAACCCCCCACACAAGGAGTGGATAGGAATCCACTAAGCCCAAAAAACCGAACGAAAATAATAGAACATAAGCCTCCAACCAAACAAGCCTCCAATAAGCCAAGCCAAACGGAAAAAAAAAGAAGCCTAAAAGCCTAAAAGCACGAGAGAACCAAAAAAGAAGTCTCTCTTTCTCTCCAAAATTGTATCAGCCTAACCCACTGTGTAAGTTAGCCTATCATTCTGTATAAAAAGAAGGCTACCCACTTAGCCATCTTTAACCCCCCACACAAGGAGTGGATAGGAATCCACTAAGCCCAAAAAACCGAACGAAAATAATAGAACATAAGCCTCCAACCAAACAAGCCTCCAATAAGCCAAGCCAAACGGAAAAAAAAAGAAGCCTAAAAGCCTAAAAGCACGAGAGAACCAAAAAAGAAGTCTCTCTTTCTCTCCAAAATTGTATCAGCCTAACCCACTGTGTAAGTTAGCCTATCATTCTGTATAAAAAGAAGGCTACCCACTTAGCCATCTTTAACCCCCCACACAAGGAGTGGATAGGAATCCACTAAGCCCAAAAAACCGAACGAAAATAATAGAACATAAGCCTCCAACCAAACAAGCCTCCAATAAGCCAAGCCAAACGGAAAAAAAAAGAAGCCTAAAAGCCTAAAAGCACGAGAGAACCAAAAAAGAAGTCTCTCTTTCTCTCCAAAATTGTATCAGCCTAACCCACTGTGTAAAAACTCCGCATTGACTCCGCACAATTGCACTTCATAACCGAGAAAGTCCCTGTATATGTTACCTCTAACGTTAAAAACGTTATTAACATTTTGATTTATTAGGGAAGTGTAAGGCACTTGGCTAATTACTTTCGGACGCGCGCATGCCCTAAATTGAAAAGGAGCAACTTTCTTCAATTAATAAAACAAGTTGGCTTTTGTCCCAAAACAGAAAGAAAGTTAGATTGAATGTAAAAACAACAAGGAAGAAGAAAAAGAAGGAGAATTTGGCAAGCACTTTCCAAAAGCGGAATTAAGAATTTTCATAAGTTCCTCGTTTATTATCTGTGAATGGTTTAGCTGTTTTTATTTATTTATTTATAAAGTTGCTCAGTTGGAATGAGCCAATTTTTTTTTGTTCTTAAAAACTGTGGAACGAGTTAAGTTTAACCGAGATAAGATAGAATAATTTCCACCGAATATAGGATGAACTTCCTTAAACTTAACATGAAGTTTCTATTTTTCAAAAAAATTTACACTCTAGAATTTAGAAGGTGGTTTTCAAACGATCTCATGCAGGTCAATGACAAAGGATTAAGGATTTCGACCAAAAAAATAAGGCTTAATTATGCACATGCCCCCTGTGCTTTTACGTTTTTCTCAGATTACCACCTGTGGTGGAAAACGTCTCAAAGTACCCCCCAACGTATAAATAACCGTCTCAATTTACCCCATCCGTCAAATTTCCTGACGGTCCGTTACGAATAGTGGGCCCCACTTCGTTTTAACCTTGAAGCTGTTCGAATAAGGGTTTCTCAGTTTGTAACAAAGGGGAAATTGGGTTTAGGGTTCATTGGAGAAGAGGAGAAGAGGGTTGTTGTCAAAATCTGAGGGTTCCTTCGATTTTGGGAGAAATTGGAGAAGAAATCATTC